CCCCCCCCCCCCCCCCCCCCCCCCAATTTGACCTGCTAAGTCACCTGCAGTAGGCAATAAAGGCAGTGTCATCAGCCACAATTCAGAGTCTGACTCTGACTCTGATTCTGACAGGCAAGTACCTCCAGCGTGTTCTGGGCCTGTTCCAGATTCTCTGCGTAGCGGACATAGAACACCAGCTGGTGGCAGAAACCCTCTAGTCCAAGCGCAAAATGGCCCCTTGCCAGGTGAAAAAGGAGCGTCCTGCGGGCAAAGAGAGGAGCCTTGAAGGAAACGGCCAGGACCAGAGGCCTTTTCCCACCCACCCAGAGGCCATCCCAGGCAGCTGCCTGACAGGACAAAGGTTAAGGCATAAAGAGAAGCAGAAACTGCTCAGAGGTCCAACTTCTTCCACTCAGTCTACCCTGCTTCCTTGTGAGTTTCTTAGCTGAACCTGACCAACTACGCTTGCTTTAAAGAAAAGGCCATTTAACACCTTTCAAGGCAGAATCTACCATCTGACGGAAGAAAGCACACCCCTCCTCAGCCAGCCACTTTGCGCCTGCCTCTCTGCAGTTGGTTTCCTGCAAGTCCCATTCAGCTCAGATGGAGGGGGGGGGAGTGAAGTTTATACAGGGCTGAGCTAAACCAGTCAGTCCACACATCCCCCTCTCCCATTACCTGATAAGGATCCTTCAAGGAAGGAAGGAGCTGAAGGCACTGGGTGAAGCTGAGCCAAGAGCAGCAACCAGCAGCTGGCCAGCAGGTGCCCGTGTAAAGCAAACAGCCAGGATGAAGTCACTGGTACTGAAACTGGACCCAACAAATCCACCAGTGGAAGATAGATGCAGAAAGACCAAAGCTCCAGGAGCCAACAAGGGGAAGAAAGCCACTGGAGGGGTCCCAAGCAACTGCAGCCACCAACAGGCAAGCATGTTAAAGGCCCAGCTACGACCACCCAGAAGCAAGGGAGAATGCCCCTCAGTGCCCAGCCTACTGAGGTCATGCAAGACAGAGTGGGTGGGAAGGTAGAAGGCTCAGAAGCAGCAGCCCCATCCAGATTAAATGGGAGAACAGATTGGTTTATTTGAAAAGAGATGTAGTAGTAAAATACACTGTACTTAAAATACAAAACCGGAGTACATGGAGAGACTGTAGAAGAACTTAAAGTAGAATTAGATCAGAAATAGGATAGGGCAATCTAGACCAAAAGTAAGGGTAAGAGAAACAAATCCAAATCCTTATTTTGCCGCTTCTTTTGGTGATAAAAATCTTTTTTGATTGGCACTCTCAACTTCTTGTCTGGTTCTGGCACTACTTCCACAAAAGATCTGGCAAAAAGTCCCATTGAACTCATTTGCCTTCAAGCAGCCACAGCCCCCAAACCCTGCACTGGTGTAATTCCTCCCTGGGGAGAGTTTCTGGCACCCCTCAAACACTTCTGTTCTCCACAAAGGGAAGGACCCTGAATACTGTATTCCAGACAGACGGATTCTTTTCCAGATGGGACTTTACTTGCTGCTCCTGGTGGGCTGGAGGAAGATCTAACTGCTTCCATTTTAAAGGATGTGAAAGTAAGTAGCCTTAAAAAACACAAAATGTGGGCTAACTCCAATCACTGCATGAAGGTGTTTGGCTAAGGAATCATGTACGTTGTATGCATTTCTTGTCATGTGAAAAACAAAATCCTTAACTAATTTACAGTTCTGCAGCTTTAGTTTTTCAAGCCATATCCGGCACATAACAGCTCTAGCCTACACATAGCAGCATCCAGATAATACTGTGATAGAGTGTTCTTGTAGTGCATAAATCACTACGACATTGGTTGTGAACGCTCAGTTTTCAGTTTATAGGAATGGATGAATTACAAGGAGGAAGGCAGATGAAAGCACATCATTCTCGCCCCCCGCCCCCCACAAACCTGCACCAAGGCCACAATCTTTCTTTACTTTTAATCTTACCGGCTGGCGGAGCAGATGGATTCCCAGGATCCAAAGAGAGCCTTGTGGACTTCTGGCTTCAAGGTCCCCTTGGCCTTCAAGATGACCACAAAGTACTGAAAAGGGACATACTACCATTACTGTCTAGTTGCAGCTGAACAAAACATTCCTGTTTTCACTCTTCCCACAGCAAGGAAAAAATCAGGCTTTGTCGGACAACCACACTTTGGCTCTTTACCTTAATACTACTGTTTAGTCAAATGCATCTCAAAATAGTTTACACAGTGCATGTAGGTGATGCAAGCAACAGTATCTTGCAAGGAAAACTTAAGATTAGAGACCCTGTCTTAAACAGAATTACTTGAACATGCTTGAGGCAAAATTGGGCTTTGGTTATGCTATGGCATACTAGCCAAAATGTGCTAAGCTGACTAGTTGTCTCCTTAGAATGCTGCATGCAGCATAGGTACAACTAAGGCTGGTAACTTATTTAATTATATTTCAAATGTGTCACCACCCATCTCACTGTGGAGTGACTGGGCGGTTTACAATAAAAATAGAATAAACATTAATTAAAATAGATAAATATTAATTAATTAATTAAAATATGTTAAAACACACTTCCTTTATAATACTTCCAAGAGGCAGATGTTAATTAGGTGTTAACAAACTCAGGGAGCATCATCACGGTGCCAGCCATACCCAGGGTCGATTGTATTTTTTCTCACCCCAAGAAATTGGGAGGAGCAGTGTCTTCAATCCCCTCTAAAAATTGGGGAGGGTAGGGGCCTGCCTCACCTCTGGTGGGAGAGTATTCCATAGGGTGGGGGCAACAGCAGAGAAGGCTCTCCTCCTAGGACCTGCCAGTCGACATTCTCTCACTA